TTTAAAGGCTTTCTACTCTTTAGCTCTGCCTCTTAGTTTTAGATTGGCCCTACTTTTCTTCTTCCCTCTGACTGTTTTTTTTATGCTAGTATGAGCTCTAGCTGCCTTAATCTTTATATTAGCTGCTACTGCTTCCTCTTTATCTTCTACTTCTTCCTCCTCTTAAGCTTTAATCTCTCCAGTCCTTCTAGCAGCTTCTTCTCTTTTTTCTATATAGCTAAGAAAGTGGTGTTAGTGCTAACTAGCCTAGCCAAAGACCTCTAAGAACTTAGAGGTTAGCTGCTTGAGGATTTTAATAGTCACTTTATAGCCGGCAGCTGTATGGCTTGTGTGTGTAGCAGCTAGATCCTCAACATTCTTATAGCTCTCGCCCTCTTTCTCCTTCTTATCCTCTGCCTGGTTGGCTGTGCTAAAATACCCCCTCTGGGGCCCTCGGGCGCGAGTATGCCGCTGGCTGACGGCAATAGCGATATGCCGCCACTGCTGCAGCGTAATCCTTTGGCCGATATAGTGCTGGGTCTATTTGGCAAGGGCTCGAGATAGCTAGTTGCTATTCCAGGGCGTACCGGGCTTTTCGTGCTGATGCCAGATAAAGTTGCTCGGCAGATAGACCTTATCGCGGAGGGCTAGCCGGCTGCTCTCGAGCCGGTTTGTAAAGGGCTGGATGTAAAGTATATACATCACCAGAAGCTGCCCAACCCGGCCCGGCAGCATCCGAGGGATAACCTTAGGGCTGTCGAAGTGGGCAAGGGATTTGTGATACTGGCTGACTAAGACGACCTCGCCGTCGATGATAAATACGCTGCAGTCCCGATTGATGCCGTTGACGAGCCGCAGCCCGGTGATTTCCGGCCCTCGAAGAGGCTGGTTGGTTAGATGGATGAGGACTAACAGCAGCTCTTGGAAGTGCTTGACCTGCTGTAAATACCGCTGGACCCGGGGCCATTTCCACTCGCCCTTGCTGTCGAGGAACTCCTTCTGCAGCGGGCCTGCCACAAGGCTCTGGAGTATTTCCTTTTCCCGCCCCAGCAGGCCGTTGGTATGCATAAAGGATTGGCCGCGCTGGGTCTGGGTCAGATCGTCGCGAATAGCTGCTAGAGGGATGAGAAAGCGGCCTCGAGCTTCAAGCCCGGCTGTCTGCTGTATATAGGGCCCGGCTGGCCCTGCTGCCGTATTGCAGCTGCTGCTGCTGGAGGGCCGGAATAGCAGTCTTTCCCATAGAAGATCTTCAGCATCTGCCGTCATTCTGGCCACTAGCTGCCGGATGCTATCTATTGCAAGAGGCTGACCGTGGTAGTAAAGCAGGGTTCCTTCAGCATTCCACAAGACTGCAAGCCGGCTGCCGGTCTCCATTGCAATCTTCCGACCGTAGAGCAGCAGGCTCAAGATATAGCCCATTGGTGCAAAGCTGGTCTTACATAGCCAGCTCTCTCTTGCTGCATGCAGTTGCTCGGGCAGATCTGTCAGTGCCGCCCGCTGGCTGCTGGGGATCGCCGCCTCGGCTACAACAGCTCGGCCTGTATATACGAGGCCGGCTAGAGTGCCTGTAAATAGATGGGCCGGCTGCAGCTGCCCGGTTTGCTTGTTGATCCCCAGGACGGCGACAAAGTGCCACAGCGGGCTCGCAAAGGGGTCGGCAGGAAGGCGCTGCATCCAAAAGCTGGCTAAAGCCTGTAGGACCTCTTCTTCAACCTGGGCTCTTATCTTGCTATTGTCATGACTGTTACTACAGCCGCCCTCATCGTCCTCGTCCTCATCGCTGTTGTTGCCGCTACTATAGCTGCAGCCTGCCGCCACGGCCTGCTCGAGCCGACGGGCAAGCCTTGCAAGCTGGCCTCGCTGCATTGGGGTAAGAATAAGAGCGTGCTGTGTGGCTAGCTCGGCCGGCTCAAGCGTCCGAACCCGTAGGCAGTAGCAGAGAAAGCGCTTGCTATAGCGCAGATATCGATCCATGCTGTCCTTTTCCTGCAGGGGCCCAAAGGGCCGGCTGTGAGTCTCCTGCAGGTGGGGGCTGGCCAGGTAGAGCCGGCCGATGTGCGGCAGCGCCCCGAGGCCGGCGATGCAGCGGCGGAAGAAGACCCGGTCTAGGGCTTCAACAAGCATCTGTAGGTCCGGCTCGTCTGCTTGCTGCGGCATCCGGCTGGCGGCGTGGATTCGGCCTAGGTCTCGGCAGCCAAAGTGATCAACCCAGCCGGTGCGCCGCAGCCAGTTGGTGATCTCATGCTTGTATATGCTGCCTTCAGCCATCTGGAGCAGCTTTTCCTGCTGCTCGCCCTGCTCGTGCTCCCACTGCTGCTGAATAGTTGCTACAAGCTGAGCTGTCTGCTGCTGCCTCTGCTGTGCCTCTGCTCCATTCTCAGCATTGCCGGCTCTTAGCGGTGCTGGCAGGCTGGGCTCCATACTGCAGCTCGGGCTTGGGCTGAAGGAGCTTGAACTTAAGCTTGAGCTTGGGGCTATTGCAGCAGCAGTCAGGTTAACAGGAAAGTAGGAGCGCCTAGCTGGCTGTGTAAAGAAGGTTTGGGCCGGAGCCTGATACCAGAGGCCTGCTCGGGCCTGCTCGCTGCCGGCTGCGTGGAGCTGGCTGCAGTGTGTTTTGCAGAGCTTCCAGTTAACCGTTAGAAAGCTGGGGCATCTGCGGCATCGGAATGCGTAGTGGATAGGGAGCCCGGCAAAGGGGGCTACTGCTGCCTCTTCTAGGTCTTGATCCTGGCCTTGCTGGCTACCTTCCGGCCTCTTGTGCAGTAGCTGCTGCCGCCAGCCAGAGCCGCTGAGGTTCTGTTGGCTATAGTGCTTAGCAAGAGCCTGGCGTATAGGCCAGCTAAGGTCGGTATGCTGCTTTAATAGATGACTTGGCAGGTCGGCTACAGCGTAGCCATGAGTTGCACAGATAAGAATAGAAAGGCAGGGATAGTAGTAGAGCCAGCTTTGGCTTGAAGCTATAGCTGCTGCTGCTAGCTGTTTTTGCTGCAGTTGGGCAGCTCTTTCCCTATCTTTTTCTTCTTCTGCTGCCATCTTTTCTCTTTTATTTCTTTTCTTTAAGCTTAAAGAGAAAGGAGAAGAAGAAGATAAGGGTAAGGGGAAGAGAAGAAGAAAAAAGAGAAAAGAAAAGGTCTCTCTCTCTCTCTCTCTCTCTCTCTCTCTCTCTCTCTCTCTCTCTCTCTCTCTCTCTCTCTCTTTTGCCCCTTTTTGCCTCTCTCTGATTGGCTCGCGACCGGTCATCAAGTGCGACCGGTCATCAAGTGCGACAGTCCCCTGCCGGTGGAGGCAGCCGACAGGGGGCTGCGGCGATTTGGACCAATGGCGAGTGGTGAAGCCGGTCATCAAGTGCGGCGGCGTCGCACTCGATGACCGCGGACTCACGGTTAGGCACCGTCCAGACCGACCGCCAAATCCAATTGTCGAAATTCTACTCCTCCTCCTCATCGTCAAGCGAATAGACGAGGAGGCGACAGAAAAGCTGAGCAGTATAGAACGCAAGTATCTGCCGGATAGGGTCGGTTGAAGAGGATGGCTGCTCGCCTTCTTTCCTTGTTACCTGCTGGAAAATGTGGTCGAGTGGAAGGATCGAGCGAGCAGCTTGCGTAGATACAAAAGAGGTCATTACTTTGGTCGGAATAACCTAAAAGGGGTAGTGCAGCTTACTAGCTCCGGCATCGAGAGGGACGTCCCAGGATATCGGCTCGGTGTAAGGACTCCTCTCGGGCTCCAGTGCGCCGTCAGCCCACATAGCAAGGATAACATCGAGCCGAAATGTGACCTCTTTCCGGATTCCAAAGTTTGGGTGCATGCACAGAGATGAGATAGCCCTCAGATGCCGCTTATTAGCATCCCAGGCATGCAAGAGATGGAAGCGGTTGAGCTGGGGTATAAAGGCGCGTTGGCGATTTTGATCCATCCCCGCCAGGTCTTTCAACATGCCTTCATCAAAGTCAAGGAGAGGGAGGTGGCCTGAGCTGAAAAGCTGGTAATTGCTAAACATAACCCCGAAGAGGTCCTTGCTGCAGTTATACGCGCTTATTTAAACCCTCTCCCTTAGTTCGCACTCTCCAGATACACAAATAAATCCACTTATCATAATTTGATGGAGGAATCGGCTGGATTGTGTAAAGCAGGTTAATCTGCTGGGTGAGGTGAAGCTACTTGAAACAGGTAGCCAAGCGGGAGAACAAAACGGGCAGCTTGTGTAGGGATTAACAAGTTGACACGCTTTGTTGGGATTATTCAAAACAGATATCGGATTCTTCTCTCTTCCTCTATTTCTACTACTTACTTGACTCCCCAACATCCCATTATATTGGCTCTTTCTAACTTAAAAACTGCTATAAGAGTAACAAGAGCTCTATTAAACTTGTCAACTTCTTTTTTGCTGTAAAGTGATTATGTAGGTTATATTGGTTTTTATTATTGTTAAGCCTTTACTATGCCTAGTAAGCCTATTTGATGAGTCCCGGGTTAAGGCCTAGGAAGCTTTTAATTATATTTAGCAACTTAATAATATTATAGCAAGTAGGGAGGATAATAGTAGAATTACTTAGTAAGAGTAGGCTATTAACATCCTAGGCTTGAAATACTCTTATAACTAGTATTAAATATGGAGGAATTTCTTAGTATTATTTTTATTAATAACTTGGTTTTCAAGCTTTTATAAAGTAATATATAATAACATACCATTATTACCATTCTAGGTAGGTCTAGTAAGTAATATAATATACTATAGGCTATAAAGGTAATAGTAATAAATAACCTTTTATAAACTAGTATATATTTAATCTATTGCAATTATAAGTTTAAATCAGTCTTAATAAGTTAACCTTTTAAGATCCTAAAATTTATCTATTTTAAAACTCTTAATCTTATATTATAATTTAGTCTATTAAAATAGCAATACTAGTAGTTGTAATATTAACTAGATTTTATCCCTAGGGGTATATTGCTATTATAATAAGATAGAAAGAAATAAAATACCTAATACTAGATCTAGAAAAATACTAGCTTACTATAATACCAGGTATTATAAGTATACTTTATATTAACCTTCTTTATCTAATTGCTATTAAAGGTAATAGTAATATAAAAGCTTAAAATTAGCTTAAGGCAATTATTAAATTGCCTAGCTAGTTTGCTAATAATATTTTAGAATTTCTTAAAGATGCAGTAAATATATATAAAATCTTAACTATTTTAGGTAAGTTAGCCTAGGCAATTAAAAAGATAATTTAGGACGAAACTTAACTAGCTATTATTTAGTAGTAGATACTTCTAGCTTGTTACCTAATAGGGAAGTTTCCTTAGAAGTATATCTCCCCTAAATATATTATCTTACTGTAATTATTGCAATATAATATATATTGTCCATACCTTAATATATATCTCCCAAATTATTTAAGCTGTAATTATAGCACTATTATCTACAGTTAAATCTACCTATACTTACTATAGGTATTAGAGTTTTAAGATATCTTAGCATCTAAAATTAGTCTATACCCAATTCCAGTATAATTAAATTTTAAAGAAAAAATACTAATAATATACTCAAGCAATCTCTTCTATTAAGAACTAAATAATCTAACTTACAAGCCTTTACCCCTCTTTATTCTACTCATAATTAAATACTTATTAAGCCTCTTAAAGCCAGTTTTAAAAAAAGAATTCTACTATAATTTAAGAGATAGTAAGTACCCAAATATTTAATAAAGCAACTAAATACAGCTAAAGAGGGCTTTAAGAAATATATAACTATATTAATATCTTAAAAGCTATATAGCCTTACTGCTAATTAATAAGGGACCTCAAAATATAAAGCATTTTATATATATTAATAGTTATATTAAGGCTAAGATTGCACTACTCTTTAAGAAGGCCTCTCTAAATCCTAACTCTTTACAATAATAGCTAAATCTAATTATTATACTACTATACTATTTTGCTATTATAAGTATCTATAAGCAGCTAATAAAAGAGCTAGGCAGTATAAAATATAAAAACTTACTAAGCAGACAGCAATTCTACATTATCATCCACATTTTTATTATAACTGTCTCTATTATTATTATTATTATTAATATTAGCATTAATATTAATATTAGCCTCAACTAGTTCTATCTCTTAAAAGAAATAGTTAAAAAGTAAGATAATACATATAGCCTATATAAATATAAAGACATTAAGATCTTTAATATAAACTATTTAGAAAGAATAATATATATTAATCTGTAAATTTAACAGAATTACCTAGAAGAGCAAACTTATATAAAATCTCTAAATAGAATTAAAGAGGCTCCAGCTCTATATAGAAATAATAGCATCTAGGTAAAAAGTTATCTTTTTGTAGATTCTATAGTTAGTTAAGGCTTTTAGTTAAAAAATAGCTCTTATATAATATTTATTAACCTTCTAGACTCTATAAAATTACTTTTAGTCTACTTAAGATATAGCAACTTACTAGTAATTTTAACTCTTATATAATAAGAATTTAATTATACCTTTATTTAATATAAAAAGAGAAAGAAATCCTAATTTATATAGCTTATAATTATTAAATATAATAGAAAAGAGTTTTTTATAATAATTATAAGCCTTAGTTAGAATAACAGCTAGCTCTTAGATATTGAAATAGCCTGGATTTAAGTTTTAAGTCTATTTTCTAGCTAAGGTATAAATTCTAGCATTATAAAGAAGAAATAATTAGAAGAATTATACTTTAAATTAGGCTTTAAATATTAAATTTTAAAGCTATTAGTAAAGATAGTAATTGTAATAACTCTTCTAGAGGAGGGTATATAATTCAGCCCCTATACAATTATACAATAGCAAGTTACTAATATAATCTCTAATTTTAATATTTAACTAATAAAAATAAATATTAACATAAGTAGGATTAAGAGCTATTAGAACTTTATCTTAAAAAAGATTAACTACTTGCTAAAAGCTAGTATAAGTAAAAGTATTCTTAAGATTATAAGATTAAAAGAATAGATAGGGATTTTAAAAGTAGGTAACTAACTCGCCCCGCCTTATTTAAATTCAAATAATATTAGCCTTCTTAATAATTGCATCCTAGAAGTAAGATAGATTATTGCTAGGAAGGGTATAGATTAAGTATAATAATTAGCTTTTATCCTCTACCTGCTACTATACAATCCCTAGATTTTCCTAGAAGAAATGTAATTTTACATATATAATATTAAAGCTTTTAGAAATCTCCTATTAAAAGAAATTAGATATAATCTTGTATGCTACTAGGAGGATAATCTAGTTATATAGGTCTCTTTATTAATTTAGAGATAGTATATTAAAAGAGGTAGATACTTTTCTTTAACTATTACTAGTAGTAGTTAGAAAAAAGAGGAAAATAAAAAAGTAGGCATTTAATATATGGAAAGAACCAAAGGGAATGTATTGTATATATAAAAGATTAAGGTTATGGGGCTAAATAACCTTATAATATAAGAGATTTAGTTAAAAGAAAGGGAGGAAAAATAAGTAAAAGTTATTATTGGGTTAAATAGCAGTAAGGCTCTTAGCTTCAAATTAAATACTGTTAATATCCTACTATTATATAACTGTTATAGAAGGCTCTATAAGAGCAGCTTGTATCTTTTAAAAAGAGAGTAGCTATACCGGCTTATATAAGAGAAAGTTCTGCTATTAGTAGAAGAAGAAGCTGGGATTTTTAATACTGCTATCTTAAAGGATATTTAAAAGTAGTGGAAGTAGCTATTGGAGGGAGTAAGCCCTCTCCTGGAGTATATACACCTCCTCTAGCTTATTAAGCTTATAAATATACTTACCTAGAATAGTATATTTATTAATAAAGAACTAAGGTTTAAATCCAATTACTTACAGTTATATTTACATTTAAAGAATACCCGGAAAATTTAATTATATACATTTCCCAGGCTTTAGAGAAAGTCTATTCCACCAGAAAGATTTTAATCCTCAGCTACTTAAAGGAAACTATAGGTAATTAGATGAGGTGGGCTTAGAGATAGTTGTATTATAAAGCCAAATAAACTTAAAGATCTTAACAAGAATAATAGCTCTAGCCCTATTGCTAAAGGCAAGTTCCAATTACTAAAATTAAAAGCTAATATATTATAGTAGTAAGGGCTAGAATATTATACAGGCAATATAATTCCATATTTAATATTATTACCATCTAAGAAAACTTTAGAAGGGCAATACTAAGACTAAGAGAAAGTAGAAATAAGGGCATAATTCTTTTTAAATATCTTATTAAACTAATTATCAATTCTAAACTAGCCTTAAGATAGGTATTTATCTAAGGGGATAAAGAATAATATCAGCTAATTAGGTAGTGAAAAGGGGGATAGTAGAATAGTAGTAATACCTAGCTGGATTTCTACTATAGTGTTAATAGTTATTGTACTTAAAGTATTAGCAGTTGGGGGCGAGTATATAATAGGGGATAGGCTTAAATAGCTTAGATCTTAGGCTAGCTAAGCCTAGTTCTTATTATTAGCTGTCTTAGAGATATTAATATCTTGGTGGTTAGAAGTGTGGAATTGCACTAGAAGTAGCAGAATGGTACTAGTATCTATTATTTTAGATATTAAAAGAACCAAGTTATAAAGACAAGAATTACCATTTCATCCATAACTAGTAAGAAGCTAAATGTTCAAATTACTAATAATATTGTATATATACTAAGCTTAGTTAAATTGGTAAATCTGCTAGTGCTGTTATTTTGCTCTTTCCTACTAGCAATATTTTCTTTCTTCCTTTAAAAGAAATGTCCAGCCTATAGTAAAGAGAAATAATAGCAAAAAAAAATAAAAAATATAATACCATAATATTCTATTTTACAATAGTACCCATTTATAAAGATAATGAGTCTAGCTGTGTAATACCTATAAGCAAGCATCCTTCTCTTTTTATATTTATTACCTTAACTACTTTATTTATTTATTTTTATTACTATTCTTAACTTTCTTTTATTCTTAATACTTCTCTTTACTTTTTTCTCTTTAAGTATAATCTAATAATTAGCTTTTTACTCCTTATTATATATAATAGTAATTACTAGAATACCATTTACTTTATTCTTTATCAAATTAATCTCAACACTTCTAATAAAAGGCAGGTTTATTTTATTTTATACTTTATTAGCCAGCTTATATCCTAGCTAAACTAGAATACCACTATACATAGATTAGTATTAACAATCTACTTACTTTTTAATTGAGAATAGTATATTAATTAGAAGCCAGTATAAGTAAAATTATCCAAAATACATTTATATATTAAATTACAATTATCTCTATCGATTGATTTAAATTTTACTATGTGCATTGCTGTAGTGGGCGCTACTGCTTCAGTAAGCATATCTGCTATGTTATACCTCGCGCCCGCGCCTGATGCAACCGAACATCCAAACGACAAGATTGACCCTGACCCTAAATCCATCTCTGAGATAGTCGAGGGTTCTCCTATAACGAAGATATATGGAATAACTGCTTGTTGGACCCGATACGATCAATTCGATCAAGCCGATAGGAATCAAAACGATGTAGAGCCCAAGCATGATTGTTCTCGATCTAGGTAGGATCCTCCGGCCTCTTTTCTCAGGAGGGGTTTTGTGGTCATCTGACTAATAAGGCCAGGATATCGGTGTATTAGAGGTTTATGCAAATTCGCGTCTTATGCCGCCACACGAGGGGGTCAATTCAATTCAACGCTCTACTCATGTAACCTTTTATTTAATAAAGGGCTTGAGTGGAGGAGAGGGGCAGCTTAAATCAAGCCCGCGGATATTTTGTCGGGGGGTCATCGCTTAGCTCGTAGATTTTGACCGGGGGTCATCGCCGAATTAGGAATATCATGGGCCTCTATGGTAAATCGAGTCTTTAATTGGCTAGAGCTTATGGTATTTGTCTCTGAACTCAAAGGTGTCTCCTGTCCGCCCGTCAAGTGAGTAATAAATAAGAGAACCTTGAGAAACTCCTCCACGTTTATACCATAGCGCAATATAGCTTTTTTATGGAGCTTAAATCCGGACTCTAAGTCAGACTGGACCTATTCTCTTCGGAGCTTGTTATCTTTCTATATCTTTCGAAATAGCTAACCCTCACTTATAGGGTCAAACTGGAAGAGGCTCTCCACGAACGAGTGGCCTATGGTAGCATCGGCAGCGTTGTCGATGAGATTATTCTATGGGATCTTAGGTAGCCTAAGCTCGGCGGGGGATTGGTTCTTGAAATTCCAGTAGAAAAGTAACTTTATGTAGAGTAATGATTCCGCCTGTTGTAGAGCAGTCTGGAGTATTAACTGGACGCTAAGGATATTAATCTGAAGGCCCTTGTATATAGTATCGTTCCTATCCCAGCTAACTGAACCTTCTATGGCCTTATTTCTATCTGCTGCTATGCTGTAATTGTAAAGCCGTATAATGAACTGTGTTAGTGTAGTATTCCAGCCTTAACTACCTCTAACTATAAATCGGCGTGTTATCTTAGAGATAAGTTTGAAATAACTCGGGCTATTTTCCTCTGTATCTTCTTTGCTTTACTCTTGTCCTCTCTTCTGTTAAATAGATTTGACTCTTTAATTAATAATATACTTAATAAGTAGAAGATGGGAGATAGCTATAATAGTGGAAAGCTTTGGTGTAAAGTTACTATAGATCTCCTATATCTTATTGATACAAATACTCAGAACTATTAAGAAGCTAATAAGAATACTCTGATACTTAGTAATCTTAGTAAAATGGTTAAGAATAGAGATATATAGCTTTAATATAGCCTCTTTAAGTAGTATATACAGCTCGACTACCTGTAGTATCTTGAGGTTGCTGTTATTCTCTTCTAATATATCTGTTAGATCGTCTATATGCTGTATTATAGTATTATATGCAGCAGACTGCTTCTGGCTGAGCTTGAATAGTAGTTGGTGGGCCGGATTCTTAAAAGCTATATATTGGATAATATATACAAATAGCTGTAGGCATACCGTAATATACCTCTTCCGAGTTACCTGTTTAAACCTGAAATGGAAGGGTGTAGTCCGCTTTTTGTTAAGCTTCTTTCGGTTGGCCTTAAATAATACATTCTACGATATAATATTCGGCTTCGTAGCAGCTATGGCACGGCGAATAATACGCTTGATAGCGAAATGTATGTGCTGCAGCTCGGTGTCGTCGTCGCCCTTTTCTGGATTAATGGTGTATTTGAGTGAAATGAGTCCCCGTAAGAACTCCTTCTTCCCGCTAAATTCCTTTAAGTGGATGGTTGCTCCTAGCCGACGGAGCTATGTATTTGGGGAAGCGAAATCGCCCTGCTCTTTGATATGTTCAGCTTCTTGCTTCTGAATGTGTTTCGCCTTGGACTGGAACGCTTCCAATGCCTCTTGGATATTTTCCTCTACCCTCTATTCCTCGGCTCCCAGACTATTAAGGTCCTGGCCTCTGGTAACCTCGAAGTACTTGCTGCGGGGACTCTTGGCGAAGAGCTGTTGATAGAGGACCCCACTTCTCCATGGCGCACTAGCCTGCTCCTCCTCGGCCTGCGCGGCTGATCGGCGACTACCTTTGAGCTTTTGATTCCATTCGTGAGTGTCCCTGAGATGCTCTCGAATTCTCTTCAAATTAGAGCCCACAAAATGACAGTTTGGCGTGGCAGTATATCGAAATCCTCCGGGCTTGGGTTTTCTAAGTGCTTTAATTGGTGTATCTGTATTGGGTAAAACTGGTATTTCGAGGATGCTATCCTGTTCCCGAATGATGTCGAGCTTAGCTGCCCACTCCTGTGCCTTCTTGATCTCTGCCTTGCCTAGCTTGTGGGGTAGTGCTCGGAGATGTGGTTCAATCCTGCACCCAATGACAATTGTCTTATAAGTGCGACAACCAAGAACACGGAGTTCTTGTAAGTGTGAAAAGTACTCTATCTAATGTAATAATGAAAGATGAAATTGAATGGGAACTCTACTCAATTCTCTGCTACTCTACGCTCCTTTTACTCTTCTCCTGAATTCAGTTTACTTTTGTTAGTTGATTGCCAGTACTAGAGCTACTGCAGCTACTACATCCTCACGAGAGTAAACAGCGCTCTGATTGGTTGGTCTGTGCAGGCTACCCCTGTCAGCCAAGGAACATCAACACTGACTTCTACAACAAGATATAATACAATTCCCTAAATATGATACATAAGCGAAAAATGAGTAGATCGCTGTAATTTCATGATCGAGGTTAGTATATTTCCCAGTTTTCAGATCCTCTCTACGTCCTGTATTTAAGGAACCGCTAATTGCCGGCTACCCAGATTTTAATTGCCGGCTACCCCATGGCTTGCTAGCGTGTTTCGATTTCACACCAAAAATTAATTGCCGGTTACCAAACGGCGATTGACATAGACTCAGGGGGTGGCCTCAGCAGATAACCGACTTACTTCTGCCCAATGTTGCCCAACCGCTTATTGTTTGAGCGATGGTCGCAATGTCGTGGCTTCTTTCATAATCGTTGTTCTTTTTGGGGTAATGCATAGACAAGTTCCACCAAAAGCGAATGCGTACGTATAAACCCCATTGCCTTCTGAAATTAGAGCACCGGCAAGAGGAGGCCCAGTCAAATTTGCGAAGCTGATGATAGAATAGACCATGCCCATTCTAGTGCCAGCCTTCTGCAAATCCGTGGTAAGTGATGACAGAGCCGCAGGAAAAAGTCCCTGTACTGTTGCTCCAAATATGCCTGCGGATAGCAATCAGTCATATCCGTCCACTCGGCGATAAAGTGGGTGCATCCTGCTATTTATTGATAGGTTCACGTACCATATATAACTGCCCAAGAATACAATCCTACTGGAGAGCCGACAGTCGTCCAGCAATATAGCATAATCGTGCAGACAAAGGCGGCTGGTGTGATGACATTGAGAGGGCCAACATACAGATCGGCTAGAAAGCCTGGCAACGCCCGCCCTATTGCTCCCACTCCATTCATGAGAATGAGGAGGTTGAGCGACGAAGCATAGTCATAGAATAGTTGGTCCCGGCTGAAACGACCGAGACTAAAAGATGTTAGCGTAATTGAATTCAAGATGCATGGATACTCACTAATAGAAGGCAAAATACACCCCCCAAAAGTTCTGTCTGATCAGCAGCTGCCATGTGTCGAATATGCAATAAACCTACAAAAATCATGCCGATGGTGAATAAACTATATGGTAGTTCTCTAAAGGCGGATAGCTCGACGAGCGGACCGGATCGTCTAGGAGGAAGTCTGGCCCTCATGAAGATGTTGGCAACGAGCAATGTGGCCAACTGAACAAATGCCATTGTTCTCATGGTCCAGGGAAAGCCAACTCGAGGGATAAGGTGCAAGAGCTGGATATACCATCCCGCCCACTGAAGCGCCGCTTATAGCAATCCCAATGGCGAAGTTCCGCCTTTTCTAAAAGTACGTCGACAACACAGCCATAACAGGACAAAAGATCCCGCCCATACCTAACCCGGTGCAGACTCCTTGGGAAAAAAAGAGCTGCAGATAGGTTGTCGAAATAGAGGCCATGAAGCTTCCTAAAACTACAAGTGCCGAGCCAGTTGCGAAAATGGCCCTGAAGTAACCAGCATCCGTCGGACGTCCGGTGAAGACACCAACGACGAAGAGGAAAAACACCTGTATGGAGCCGATCCAACTGATTTCCGAGCTAGACTGGGCGAGCTTTGTCGCGTAGAATATTTGGAAGATGCCAAATGAGTTTATTTTACCCCAGGTGTTGATGATGGCGAGATGGGCCATGAGGGCTTGCATCCAGGCGAACCATCCGCCATCCGGGGGAGGCAGAAAATCGCTCAACGTGGCTCCTTGGGGAGTAGTTGGGATAGAATGGAGAGCGCTTTCTGGATCTGTTGGATTGAGACCCTGTATTACGAAACCTCTGATAGATTGGGTCCTTTCCACTTCCAATTACAATTATTCCGACAATAGCCGTGGACAAGATACAGTACTTGGCCTCCTCAGGCGTTTTCGATAGGTAATTGCCGGCCTGCTCGGCTATCAACGGAGCGTCTTGCCGAGATCGCTCTAGCTCCGAGCAGTGACCTGCCACCCAAATCTCACTTTTATGTATGAAGAAAACGAGCTAGAAGTCATCGCACCAAATTTAGGGCAATCCTTCCGACATCTAATTGGGAGCTGCTACAGCTTCTCAGAGCTACGGGCTGATGGCAGACAAAAACTGCTGGCAGCCAGAGGTGTCGCCCAAAAGGGAGAGATAAGCTCTGTCAGCAACATTGGCCAGAGTATATATGCATGAAGTTAATTAGATAACAAATGGTCGAAGTATTTCGATGTCGTCGCCGTCTCCAAGGACTCCGATTCCGGAGTCCGCCCGAGTGACTACGCAGGGAGCGACCGGGTGGGCGTGACAAACACTGGAGATAGCCTTCCATAGCCCCCGCTTCAAGGACTTATGGGCCGCCGATTCGGAGTCATATTTGACATTTCTAAGAAAGTTACTTCATTGTATAAAACCCCAGGCAAATGCCGTCTCACACAGTGCCATCATCTACACAGCATACACACAATGACTGCCGACGCACCTTCTGCTGCGGCCTCCGTCATCGCCGCCGCTCCGGCCGCTAGTGTCCCTACCGACGCACCGCAGGACATGTCAGCGCCCGGCGCTAGGTCGCACAATGAGGCACTCTCGCTGGCGTCTCGAGCCGTGCACGCTGATGATCATATCTCTGCGCACAGGGCCGTCGCCCCAGCCATGCACGTCAGTACGACGTTTCGGTATAATAATGACCCAAAGAGGCTGATACCGTTGGATTATACTGATGTGAGTCATCTCGCCAATTCGTCTGGCCTATTCGCTGCCAGGCCGGGGATCTCATATGTTTCCGTTTGTTCTAATATCTGATAGCCCACCGCGCCCCTCGACTCTCATGTCTACTCCCGCATCACCAACCCCAGCACTACCCGTCTCGAAGCTGTCCTCACCTCTCTCCTCGGTGGTCCCGCCGTCACTTACTCATCCGGCTTATCCGCCTTCCACGCCCTCCTCATCCACCTGAACCCGCGCCGCATCGCCATCACCGGCGGCTACCACGGCTGCCACAGTGTCGTCGCCCTATTGTCCCGCCTCACCGGCCTGCAGCAGTTGCCTCTCGACTGCGACGCCTCTGAACTGCAGCCCGGCGACGTCATCCACGTCGAGACACCGCTCAACCCCACTGGCGAGGCTGTCGACCTGGCCTTCTACGCCGAGAAGGCGCGCCTCGCAGGCGCGTACCTCACCGTAGACGCGACTTTTGGCCCACCGCCTCTGCAGGACCCATTCGCTCAGGGCGCTGACTTTGTCATGCATAGCGGCACCAAGTACTTCGGCGGTCACTCAGACATGCTGTGCGGCGTGCTGGCGGTACACCCGCGGCACGCGGACGAGTGTAGCGAGCGGATGCCGGCGCTGCTGCACGATCGCATGGCCGTCGGTTCCGTAATGGGCAGCCTCGAGGGCTGGCTAGGGATCCGGTCGCTGCGGACACTGGAGCTGCGGGTCAAGCGGCAGAGCGCCACAGCGACGGCGTTGGTGGCCTGGTTTTCGGCGCAGCTAGCTGAGGCTTCTGGCCCTGTTGCAGCGGTAGTCGAGCGCGTGCAGCATGCAAGTCTGCAGCCTGGGGCCGCGGATGAGACGAGCTGGCTGCGGCAGCAGATGCCGGGTGGGTACGGCCCCGTGTTCGCGCTGTGGATGAAGGACAGCGAGGGTGCCAAAAGGCTGCCGAGCAAGCTAAGGCTGTTCGATCACGCGACGAGTCTCGGCGGCGTGGAGAGTCTCATTGAGTGGAGGGCGATGATGGACCCCAATGTTGACCGTAGGCTACTGAGGGTCAGTATAGGAGTCGAGGGGTTGGAGGATCTGAAGCAGGACTTGCTCCAGGGGCTAGAGGCACTTGAGACAGAGAATAGCACAAGATGAGACCAAGGAGAGATAAAGAAAAGCCGGTATGGATTAAAGTTTCAGGATCGAAGATGCCTTGCAAATTTAAAATAAGACTTTACTAGACTAGTCTCACATCGCTCTTGTACCAGCAGCCTGGCTTCGAGTACCCCGAAGATGAGCCTGTCTGGCATGATCATCAAGACAATCAAGCTGAGCGAGATCGTCGACGAGGGTTTCCAACCCTTGATCAACGACAAAGACAACCACGTCAAGATCCTCGTTAACTTCAAGGCCAGCCTTGCAGCATAATTTAATTTACACCATCTAATTTGGGAGAGAGAGCATTAGCAAGCGAGCATGTTTGTCACATCGGCGAACAGGGAAAAATGGGTTTTGGAATTATATAATAACCAACCTACAGGGATCTTAAAATAACTTGATTCATACGAAATTATGAATTAATAATACGCTGTGCACATTATCACAAGCTTCATGTTCCATGCATACAAGCTTCAGCCTCCGCTTACGGGGTTAAAACTGGAGTAAGGCATGCATCTCCAGTCTTAGCCAACGAGACCCCTGCCTTTCGGCTCGACGTGCTGGAGCGAAGAAGGTAGATATGAGTCAATTTTTTTTCTCTTTTTCTTTTACTCAAATAGCTGAGAACGAACAACCTCTCCTCTTCATCCGTCCCCCTCTTCACACTTGCACATTTATCAATATCTGACCATTCATCAAGCAACGACAATGGCTCCCATCCGTCTCGGCACTGCATCCCCCAGCACCCAACCTACAATATCCCAAACACTCTCCCTCCTTTCCGACCTCGCTCGTCGTGCCGCCTCTCACTCCATCGACCTTCTCTTACTTCCCGAGGCCTTCCTGGGTGGCTATCCCCGCGGTAGCGCCTTTGGCTCGGTCGTCGGTAGCCGCTCCGCCGAAGGTCGCGATGAGTTCGCTTCCTACTTTGAGGGCGCCGTTGACCTCGGCGACACGGTCGGCAACGGCGCTGGTGCCGGAGATAAGTGGATTTGCAGGGAGTTGGATGTGAATAAGGGGGAGGATTTCCGTGGTGATGGGATAAGGGAGGAGCTGGAGAGGGTTGCAAAGGAGACGGGTGTCTTTATTGTAACAGGTCTTGTCGAGCGGGCTGGGGGGAGCTTATACTGCTCCGTCATCTATATCTGTCCGAACCAAGGCATTATTGGAAAGCGCCGCAAGATTATGCCAGTGAGTCCCCTGGACCTGATTAACTACACCACTAATATAGCTAGACTGGCACCGAGCGCCTCATCTGGGCCCAAGGTAGCCCAAGCACCCTCCGCGCCGTGAGCACCACCATCCGCGGCGTCCGAATTAACCTCGCTGCCGCTATCTGTTGGGAGTCCTACATGCCCCTTCTTCGCCAGTCCCTCTACGCGCAGAATATCAACCTTTATCTCGCCCCCACAGCAGACGCCCGCGACGCCTGGCTCAGTCTTATGCGTACTGCTAGCGTAGAGGGTCGGTGCTTCGTGCTGAGCAGCAATATGTGCGTGCGGGACACGGAGAATCAGGAAGACGACAACAACCTGGTAGTAAAAGGAGGAAAGCGGTCAGTCGCGAGGAGGATGAGATGGAGATTACCCTGCCGAGAGAGTCTATCTTTGACCAGGACGGCAACGAAATTGTGCTTAGTTGCCCGGATAATGAGAACAGAACATCCACGCAAACCAATAGCAACTCGGTGGTTACAAAGGACAAGCCTGCCAGCAAGGCCTCGTGGTCATGCCGCGGAGGATCATGCATCGTGGACCCCTTTGGCGACGTGCTTGCGGGTCCTCAGTGGGAGGACGACCATGGCATTATCTTCGCCGATGTTGATTTCCGCGATTGTATCAAAGGACGACTGGATCTCGACGCTGGTGGAAGTTATTCGAGGAACGACTCATTTAAGCTCGCTATCGACGGATTGGATCTGGAGCCACTGCCGTACTGACGAGCTTGACATAGATAAATATTTCATAATTGTATGCTGATGAGCCCACTCGTCCACGTGCGAAGAAGGCGGTGGCCCCTTAGGATGAATCAAAGAGAGGTCTTATTCGAAGGAGAGCAATCCCAAATCCCAATGTCCTGGCGGGTCACCAAGATGATGAAACTTACCTCTGCCAGCAAGCTTGGGCTCTGACCACCTAAATCCGTCTTGCCTGCCTTTGCTGGCACTACTCGAGGGGTTTAATTAGTCAACCCCTCAACCTAGATTCCTAGGTTGAGGGGTCCATTGACCAGGAAAAAAACCCTCGACCGGGAAAAACAAGGTACTTTAATTTCCTCCTAATTAGTATAGTTAGCAATGTACTAAATTTTTACAGCTAAGCGTATCTATGACCTACCCTCAACAGCAAAAGATAGTGACTTTTGACTTAGTGGGGCTTACATATTAATCTAAGGTATCTTTTTTTTTTCCGGTCGAGGGATATTTTCCTAGTCAATGGCCCCCCCAACCTGAGAATCAGGTTGGGAGGTTGACTGATTTAAACCCCCCGAGTACCGGAAACGCTGCTTGTGATCTGAAAATAGACGACGCATTAATCCGGAAACAGTCTCCAGTCTCCCTGTAGCCAATCGAGAAGAGATCGCTTATATAAGAAATTCGGGAAGTTGCCGTTTACTATTGTCTCAACCTAAAGTTTGAGCACCTCCAGCTAGTGCTAGTTCTCGTTCCCATGGCATCGCCAACAAGAGACCGTATAAATGACAACTTCACTAGACGTAAACTGGGTTGCCCCAGCTCGACCCCTGGTACGCTAGTATAAGTATGCCGGTTTATCTGTGGTCTCTTGCAGTAGCCGAGAGCATCAAGGGTCACCCGACATCGATTCCTCAAAATGCCGTCTTGCGTAGGAGCCAGAGTATTTTTAGTACGCATATACGCTTTCATCCGATAGTAGTAGAAAAGTCGCCCTTTTTGCTCGCTCACAGTACTAGCGAGCACCGGTGTGCCATGAGGGATGACAAGAATTCTACAATACGTTGGAAAACGTGTTGTGAATCAAGATAGACTAATGTGCGCCGAGTAAAACATCCAAAGTCTGTAGGCCATTTCAACTTGGTAGAACGATACAGAAGCGACGTGAGGACCAATTTGTCTGTGGATGCGAGATGTCCAAACCCTGATAGTCACTATAGTTGCTAGTCTATACAGGTGGTCTAGTGAAGCATCAGCCCATCATTTACTCCATCTCCCTCGGGAACAAAGTGGGAACATATCACCCACGCCTTCGCTCGTGTAGCCGCCAGCTCGGCGCCTCCGAACAGGCGTTTTCTTTCCTGTCTTATCTCGCCACAAGCTACTGTAACTCCGCCATCGGGCCGGGAGAAGCGCACGCAGCTGGTGTCATGTCATGCCACTGGTGTCGCCACCCATCGCGCCCACCCGTGCCCACCCTATACTGGAGTGGGCAGCATATCCATATTTGTGACATCGTTCAGGTACATTTGCTGTTGCCTAAGCATACCCTTGCTGAGCATACGGATCGGCGAGGTTCTGTCTTGGGAAAGGCCGACCGAAGGTAATCTTGCTACCAAGAGGAGAACTAAAGTTTTAGTATCTGTACAGCCGCTAACACCCGCAGGGAGAGCTTTGGGAGAGATCAAGGGAAGCCATGGCTGCAGCGCCGCTGATATCATCCATGTAGTTCATGTAAGATTTTAAACCAGATTGCAAGCGACGACCAATTGGGAAGGAGCCCTGGGCATCTCGGATGACTCACACTAGCGGATCCAGTCCCAAATCCACCAATAATAGCAATCAGCCCAGTTCCGTTGCGTTGGGCTGGAATGAACCAGCGGTGGGTCCAAAATCACAGTCACCCTTGGAGACCAGGCAGCTTGCCTTGGCATCCGATTTGTGTAAATAGCACTCTGTACAAGCAATTCGCTTTTCAGATAGGCCGCCAGCAGCAGCCTAATTAGTGAATGCTAAATAACCAACTAACTTGTGCAGGAAATACGCAAACCCTGCAAGTCCATGTAGCCATGTGGACCCAGCAAAGTCGGTGAAACAAGCTCCGCCAATAGGCCGCGATCGGAAATCGAGCTACGCAACTACTCGTCAAATCCGTGCAGTTTGGGCGTTATCATCGGGTATAACCGCTTTCCCAGTCCCGCCGTTATCGGAGTAAGCTCTTTGCTTACGACCCGGCCGGGTATAACGCAAAACCCTTAGGACATACAAGCCGAACACCATGGATCACAAGCTCGGCGCACGAGTCAGTTTTAGGGATTTTCATGCGATCCCGAATGCACGAGCACGAGAGGATAAACGATGACTACACAAAGATAAATACCATCGTCTTGCTTGTCGATGGAATGGATTCAATACCTTAACATTCTTGACTCAACCAGACTCATCGGCTTAGTTCTATTGCATCAAATCCAAATTCAACCATCAACCATCCTCTTCACACCTAGAACGCAAAACCTAGCCGACATGTCCCTTCAAAACAAAGTTGTCCTCATCACTGGTGGCTCCAAGGGCATCGGCGCAGCCATCGCCCGGCGAGTAGCCAATGACGGTGCCTTAGTGGTCATCAACTACTCCCGCGACGGCAGTGCCGCCGACGCTCTGGTCGAGGAAATCGGCGCCGATCGTGCCTTGGCCATTCTGGCAGACGTTTCCAACGTGTCCGAAATTGAGAAGCTAGTCGAAGCTACCGTTTCTAAATTTGGTCGCATTGACGTCCTGATCCCAAACGCGGGCATCATGCCGCTGCAACCGCTCGCCGCCATCACCGAGGATCTGTACGAGAAGACTTTCTCTCTCAACTACAAAGGGCCTCTATTCCTGGCCCAGAAGGCGATTCCTTACATTCCCGACGGTGGCCGAATCATCTTCAACTCGACGGGTATCTGCAGCAACAGCGCCTTGCCCGCCGTTTACGGGCTCTACGCATCATCCAAGGGCGCCGTCGAGCACTTGACTCGTGCACTGTCGAAGGAGTTGGGGCCGAAGGGTATCACTGTGAATTGTGTAGCTCCTGGACCTACGCAGACAGAGCTCTTTATGAAGGGAAAGCCAGAGGCAATGATCAAGGGGATTTCGGCTCAGAGCCCGTTCAACCGGCTGGCAGATCCCTCCGAAATAGCCAGCTTGTACGCTTTTGTAGCAGGCCCAGATGCTTCGTGGGTTAGTGGGCAGGTCATCGGCGCCAACGGCGCTTCTTTTGTATGAGCGTAATTGGTCTCGGTCATGGAATGTACGCAATCGATTAAACAGAGCGGTGTCTACCCGCGGTGAACTCGGTTCCATTAGTGTCTGTTACTGCTACTGCTCTCCTGCGTTGAAGGAGGCCTAGACTTCTGTGAATAGCTTCTTCTCACATGCCATGCTTCCTTAGCTGCCTCTGTCAACTGCCGGAGAGTCTCATCATTATCACGCAATGTTGCAAGCTCAGAACAACAGGTATTACATGGCTTAGCTAGGAACACAATACCTGACAGGGGGCAAATATTTAATGTCACCTACGGATACTGTAGGTCTAGTTCTGACTGTTCCCAGTGCCCTAATTATGCCCAAATTCGTGGTGATATCGTCCCGCCCGATTACCTCTGTGAAGTTCGTGAAGTTCTGCCATATGATCTAACGGCAAGGGCAAAGCGAGCTACCGAGACACAGCTTACGGATGTATAAAAATATATGACGGCTAGCAGGGAGTAGCATGTTACAAAGTTGGATTGTATCATGCAATACGCACTGTAGGACAGGATGTAAGCGACGTTTATGGGTCCATCCCTCCCTAGTTCTACCAAAATGGCCAAGCCCAAATTGTTGGCCGTTTTGGGGCATATGGCCGTTGGGCACTACACACATTACGGAGTGGTTTGCTACCCGCTATTGGGCATACTATGTACTCGGATAAGAAAAAGAAAAAAGACGCAATTCGGTCTCGCCGATTGGCTTGCTAGTAAGTATTTCTCCCGATCTTCGACATGGAGATACTGCAATCAAGGCTCGAACCAACTACACTGCATATCCACGTGGACCACATATAAGTGGCCCATCTCTATTACATCCACTTTGCCGCGCTCAGCTTACGTAATGATCCACTACATTCGGACCTGAAAGTGGATGTAATGGAGTGGATTTAGGTGGATTTAGGTATAGTGGGATATTCCCTGAGCTTGCACGGCCCATAATACTTATTTTTATATATAATTGCCTAGTAAATCGAGATACCGAGACCCAAGTTAGCCAAGGTCGATCACCCCCCCCCCCCCCCCAGCTAATCTTATAAACGTCATACGAGAAACTGCCCCTATTGAGGCGTTTTCAACAGATTTCCTGCTGTTGTTTTTGCAAGATGTTGGATACGCAATTTGCTGTATGCAATAGCAGGAGTGATTGATTAAATCGATATATCTTGAGAAGGTTGTTCCTCTTTTAATTGAGGGTCATAGAGGCCCTGTTTTATACTCAAAGGGATAGGGATATCGCTACTAAAGATGAAAGTTGCCCCCTATTGCCACCGGCTTAGCAAGCAGCTTCTAG